GGTTTTAACTTGTATTTCCTTGAGGACTAGTGGTGTTGACCACCAATTTGTAAATTATGACCTGGCAGCTACATTCAGCTGCCTATTTTTATAAATACAGTTTTATTGGAACACAGACACCTTCATATGTTTATATAATGACTATAGATGCCTTTGTGCTGCAATGGCAGAGTCACATGGTTGGGGTAGGAAACATCTGGCCTGCAAAGCCTAAAATATCTACTATTTGACCCCTGGCAGAAAACTTCTGATGACCTTGATGTTGGAACATCTTTTCATCTGCTTATTGGCTACCATATATCTCCTTTGGTTAAAAAAAAATCTATTTGAATCCTTTGGCCTTTTTTCTTAAATATTTTGTTTTCTTACTGAGTGGAAAGAATTAATTTAAATATTATAGATCCAAGTTCTTTAGTTAATATGTGTATTACAAATATTTTCTCCCAATCTATAGATTGGCTCTTCTTTTTCTCATTAGCTTTTATAAAGTTCAAAACTCTAAAAATTTAATCAAATTTACTTTAAACATTTTCAAAATCTATGCTTCATGTGTCATATCTGAATGAATGGGGATTAATTTAATTATTTTGATATCTTAGAAAATTTGATTTTATATCATTATATAGGTAACTGAACAAGTATAGAGGTTGGCAGAGACATACTATGGGTAAGAATCAGGTTTTTTTTTAAATCCTGAAACAACTGAGTTATTATTTTATTGACATCAGTATTATTAGCTATTATTTTACTTAATATCTTATGAAAATTAATGCTGATCTGGTTTATTCCCAAACTTGCTATATTGAGTATTTCTAATTTCTTCCTTAGCATTTCACAACACTGAGGGCATATAAGCTGATTATTGCTGCTATACTCATAGATATTTTTTACTTTTACAAAAGAAAATTAGCATTTTGTAGTTTTTTCTTGAAGTGATTTTATCAACTTGACTAACTTCATATCAATAATTTAGAATACATTCTGAAATATTTTGAAACATAAGAAAGCTTTCAAAGATTAGACCTGAAAGAATTTCTCCTTCTGAGAGGTCTATAATGGTAATTCCTTTCTTACAGACAGGGACCAAATGTCTGTGGTAGTTCAGCAGGTGTTTGTGCCGTGTGTCTCAACAGAGTGGTATTGAAACTGACCGCAGCCACTCAGGATTCTGGGGTCAACATTACATGTCTTCTCAACACCTGTGCCTACAGCAGCAGCAACCTGCATCCTCGGGTTGATATGGAGAATTTTATAAACTCATAGGATCTACCTTTTATCTGACTTTCTAACCTCACTACCCTCTGCACTGTTTTTAATGCCACAAGGCATGCATTTATTTTTGAAAATTAAAAGGGGATTGATTTTAACTTTGTTTTGAAAGATTTTTTTCTTTCTTAGATTTTTTTCTTATAGAATTTCTCAACAAACCTTTGAGATATTTAGACATACCCTAGGGTGTTGTGAAGAGAGGACTAGAAGTAATTGTCATAGATCCACTATTCCACTTTACCAATACGCAATTCTTTTTTCTTAGCCATACTAATTACTTTCCTGAAATGTTTTCATTTCACTCTTGGTTAGCATATGCTTTGTTTATTGTATAGGACAAATAAATATTCTTGTTTTTCTAGGGGCTTTCTGGATAACATATATGCTATTTTGCTTATAAATGTTTTCCTAGTTAAGCTTCTGTCATGTATTATTTTCCTATAATCTGTAAGTCATTCACCAGAGGTCTTTCTACTGTTGAAAGATAATTGTCATTACATGATGTACTGTTTCAAAACATTAAACCAGAATTATTCAGAATGAAGATAAATTTATTTAAGAATACAAATTATTATAGGATGCAGATATTCCTTAAAATATTGAGGAAAGTATCCAAGAGTATAAAATGTAATGGTACTCTAAATACTCAAAGGAGAAAAATTGCCTGACCTTTTTGCTGAGCACTGAAAGGATTAATGGAGTAATAAGTGGGTGGGCAAAGGGTTGGAGAGAGGCAAACCTAGGATAGAGGTAACCACCCTGGGTGACAGTGTGAGCACAGCTGCAGGGCCAGGGCCTAGTATGCACTGCAGAATGGGAGAAAATTATACTGGCCCAAAAAAGTAAGATATGTTACAAAATTATAAGAGAAGAAGTAATGCATGGCTAGATAATGAAGGACCTAAGTACCTAGTTCCAAATAAGGAACTGGGATGATAGTCTCAAAATATTAAGTTGATGATGCTGTTGTTTTCAGGTAAGATTTGTCTGTGTGTGTTTCTCCTTTTTAGGACTTTTCAAAGTTTAGCTCTAGAAAGCTGTATGAATTGGAATTTTGGATTAAGTAGGTAAGTTAACTGCCAATTATTTGAAAAGTCACATGATGTTGATGTATTTGTTGACATATTATTAGGAAAAGTAATAAAGGCTGGAGTCATGAAAATTCCTGTGCAGGGGAAGTGAGAACGCTTCCATATCTGTCGGGCAGTGATTCTGTTTTCAGCCCGCCTTTCTCTCGCTTGGGGTAGCCATCTCCTCCACTTGCACAGGGTGGTATATCATGCCAAAATTTACAAGCAAAGGTCTGATGTGATGATGCTGTTTCTCTCGGCTTTTAGTCAAATGAGCGTGCAGCCCACGTACATTAAGATTCCTTACTTTCTTCTTCCCAAAAAGGTGCTGGAAACAGGCTGGCTGTGTTTTGATTTATTGTGAGACCTGATGACTTTCTAAAGTAGCAGAATATGTGTTTGACTTATATTTGTTGTATCTGTTGAGCAGGATGAGTAACTCCAAGGTTAATTTAGGCTCACAAGAAAGAAGGGAAAAATTGGCCTGCACAAAATCTGTTATATCTGATGAATAAATAATTTCATCAAAATCTAATGAAGATTAGATGAAACATCAGAAATTAATATCAACTTAAGTGTTATGGTCTGGGGTGTTGGCCTCTCTGTACGTTGTTGAGTAATAACAAAGTTCTTAATAAAAATGGGAGAAGAGGTCCAGCCTAGTGAGAACCTGAAATCTAGTTTTGATCCTGGATCTCAAGGTCAAAACTTGACTTGCACAGTGATAGAGGTGTGTCTGCCCTCAGTTTAGCTGTTTGTGCTACAAGGAGATTGGACTAGGTGAACTGGACTTGGTATGTTTTCCTCGGACTTTAGATAAGTCACCCAATATCTCTGGGTTTTGATTTTGCTAGAAATATAGGAACAGCTCTCTGAGAATCTAGAAATCCATAGAAATTACATCAGGTTCTTGGGAAAGTACAAAGTGCTCTGCACATATCTAGAAATAGTACTACTGGCTGCTGAGGTAAGAGTGGTTCCCAAACCTGGTATCTAAGATGGGGTTGTTTTATTTTTTCAAAGGCCATTGGAACCCTTTTATGTAGCTGTGCTAATGTGGTCCAGGTTGATGTTGACTGGAATAGTGTAACTTTAGTATGATAACTTTGGGAAGCCCATGCTGTTCAGAGTTGCTGACTGGTATATATACAAGTTTTTTATTAGTGAAAAATGGAATATGAGTTATTAAATTAGTAAATGCAATCTTTTCAATAGGTAAAATATTTTAAATGTGAAATCCCTATAGATAAGAAAGAAAATAATTGAGGTTCACAATCTTTTATGAGCCCGGTACATTTTTGAATTCAGAAAATCTTTGGATTTTAGAAATGTACTAGGATGCCTCAACCACACGTTAAGTAGTCTCTTCAGTGGGCCCTTGACAATAAATTTAACACATTGACATTTCTACAGTTAAACTTATGACTAGTCATACTGATTATTCAATGAGATTATGAAACACTAAGAGGCCTTATGACTGTTCAGATTGAATTTTGTTACCAAATTAGTTTGCTGTGAATTTAACTAAAACCTTTTAGATTTCTGAATTGTGGCTAAGGGGTTTTAAATAGGCCTAATCAAATAACCAATTACTGAGAAACTACTATGTGCCAGGTTTGAGATGGTACCATTTACACTAATCTTAGTAAACATCCTGGTAAAGTAGACATTATCCATAATGGATTATCCATTATCCATAATTTACAAATTAGGAAAGGGAAACCAAGGCTCAACCTGTTAGGTGAGTAGCCAGGGACCACACTAATATAAGTATGTGGCAGAGCCGGAATTTGAGCTCAGCTTTTTCTGCCCCCAAAATAAAGGATAATATTGTTTCCTCACGGCTTGGTCAAGATGTCTGGCTATTGTGATCATCTGTCTCTTTGGCTGCATAGTAAAAAATAAATAAAAATAAAATAAAGTAAAATAAAGCCTTAAAAATTTAATTGTTTTTTGTCCTTACTCTGTACAGTCTTTCTGATAAAATTCATCCAGTGATCATTTAGACATGAATGACACTCAGATGGATCTATACCGCATTCCTGAGCATCTCACTTAGATGTTTGACATAGTGTTGGACATCTCCATGTGATTGTCTCACTGTCTCAGTGAGCTCCAACTAGAACTAATCCTTTTTCTCCTCAACACTTCTCTTTCGGAATTCCCTATTCTACCATCTCAGTTACCCTAAGCTAAAATCTTCCCACTTCCTTCCCTTTCCAACTTTATTAATCACTAGGTTCTTCAAGGTGCAGCCACAGAGCAGCAGAGAGGACACTGGGGTTTTCAGAGCGCAATAATTTCATTTACCAATTACAGATCTTTTCACCATTCTCAAACAATACATATAAAATGAAGGTTTTGACCAATTGGGGACAGCCAAAATAGCCTTAAACCCCATCGACCAGCTCAATGACAAATTACCAAATATTACGCCCTATAATTTTACTTTGTATGCTAGACTGCTTTATATGTTATAAAATCTGTGTGCTATGATCTCAAAATTACCTGCACTTTGGCTATTCAGGAAGGGGTGTTGTGATCTTGAGTAACTAAGTAGATAACATGTTTTGCAATAACAACTAACCTTTGCTCCAAAATCGTCCTGGGATGCTAATGGGGTAAAGTAACAGCCACCTATTTTTTCATTCCCATCTTTAGGTAAAAGGCCAAACCTGAAAGTCCACATCAATACCACAAGTGACTCTATCCTCTTGAAGTTCCTGCGTCCAAATCCTGATGTAAAACTGGAAGGTTTTCTCCTGGGATATGGCAGCAATTTATCACCAAACCAGTACTTTCCTCTTCCCACAGAAGGGAAATACACCGAGGCTGTAGTCGGTAAGATGTTTGGCTCTCAGGCCTGGGAAGGAGACATGAAAGAAAATAGGTGTTACATGATACATAAATCTTGAAAGCAAGCACCATTTCTTCCACCACCTCAGCTAAATCAAATGCCAGAATTACAAATCCTCTTCATAACTGTTGTCATCCTTACATGAAAAAAATATGTAGTGCATATTCTGCATGTGCCTCAGCAATAATCAGCTTCATTGCCATTATATCTACAGTCCCTGAGCACATAACTTAAATTGCATGGGGGGAAATAAGCTAAAAGGCCTGATTTAAATCTCTGTAATATAATTTATGTGGATTATCCGTCCTCCCCGGTGTCTTCACTTTCTTCCAGTAGAAAATAGCAACTGTAGCTTTCTGGGTGTCTCTTCATGAGAAGCTACCTTTAAAAAGAAAAGAAAATGGACTATATTTTGAAAAATGTATAGTATTTCAGACAAAGAAGATTAAAGTTTTCATATGTATTATAAACTTTAACATTTCTTTGAAAATGTTTTTAGTCATATTAAAATGTAATTTGGAGGATGCGGGCACCTTCATCTTGTTCAGAAAAATTACTTGGGAAAAAAACCTTTTAAAGAATAACTTCTAGAAAAAGAGATCATTTTTATGAATGCTTTCAAAGGCTTCTGGATAGTCCTAGATTTATATTTTGCTTCACTGCTTGCATTGATAAAGAGCCTTTCCATGAACTTCTGATATTTAATCCTATAACTTGAACTACTATAGACAGGATCTGACATTTATTCTTTTATGACTGAATGTTGGAGATGAATCTATTTTGTTGTTCAGCCTCTTGTCCTCATAGACAAGTCTCAACTGTACTTTAAAATCAGGCAAAGCTGAGAGGGAGTGGAGGCATTGAGCAAAAAGGAAAAAGGACTCATGGACATGGGCAACAGTGTGGTGATTGCAGGGGAGAGGAGTAGGAGAGGGTATATGGGAGATAAATGGTAATGGAAAAATATAATAAAAATGAACTTCAAAAAATAAAATAAAATTAGGCAAGAGAGTAACATTGTTAATTAAATGTCTACACTGGATTTCACATAAGATAATCACTTTAAATCAAACAAATTACAGCTACCAAAAAGTTGACAATTAGGAACTTCGGACAAATGTAACAACACTAATCTTGAATGTGGAAACCATAGGGAATTTGAAAATTTGCAAACATTCCCCATCATATTTATTCTTTACTATAAAAAGTAACTGAATGCTTTAACTTGTTACAAACAGAAACAGATCTACTGCTCCTTTGTTTATTGGGCATTAGAAGTGACAGTCTGTGATAGTTGAGTAGTTCAATGATGTGGGATAATCAAATGGATTAGGCACCCTTTTATTTATTTACTATTGTTTTCATCCTTTAAAATATTTTTATTATGAAAAGTTCAAACATAAAGGGAAAGAATATTATAATGACCCTCATGTCCCATCATGCAACTGAAATATATATCACCTTTTTTGCTAATCTTGTCCATGTATTCTTCATACACATTATATTATTTGAGTATTTTAAAGCATAATTGGAGATCATATTTTTTAAATCTATGAATACTCCAGTAGGTATCTCTAATAGATAAGAAATATTTTTAATAATGCCATGCCTTTATCACATTATAACAATAATTCTATAATATTTTCTACCTATTCCATATTTAAATGTCTCTGTTCTTAAAAGTGACTTCTTTTTTTTTAAGATTTTATTTATTTATTTTTAGAGAGGAGAAGGGAGAGAGAAAGAGAGAGAGAAACATCAATGTGTGGTTGCCTCTCATGTGGCCCCCACGGGGGACCTGGCCCGCAACTCAGGCATGTGCCCTGACTGGGAATCGAACCTGCGATGCTTTGGTTCACAGCCCGTGCTCAATCCATTGAGCTACACCAGCCAGGGCTAGAAGTGACTTCTTAGAGTTGTTTGTTTCTTTGAGTTGGGATCCAAACCAGGTCTGCACATTAAATCTGGTTGTTATGTCTCTTAAATCTCTTTTATTCTCTAACAATCCTCTTTCCCTTTGCTATTTAAATGTCATTGTGCCCTGACCAGGAATTAAACTCATGATTTTTTGGTTTAAGGACAATGCTCCAACCAAGTGAGCCACACTGGCTAAGGCCCTCTTTTATTTTCTAAAGATCCTTGTGATTATATTGAGCCCACCTGTATAATCCAGGATTCTCTCACAATTTTAAGGTCAGCTGATTAAAAACCTTAATTGTATCTGCAACCTTAATTTTCCTTTCATGTAACCCAACATATGTATAAATTCTGGGGATTAGGATGCAGATCATTATTCTGCCTGCCACAAACTATGAGACACTGTGAAATTAGTGTCTCTATTCTATTTCCTTTCTGCCAGAAGTTTACTGGTGATCATTCTCAAATCTATTCATCTGTAAAAGAGTAATAAAGTCTATTTTTCACACATGTCCTGTGGGCATATTAGTGAATTTTTGGTCATAAGTGATGAGTTGAATCCCTTGAGTGTAGTGCACTATACAAGAGCAAAGAATTTTTGTGGGGTTTTAATGGAAGAAAAGCATCATTTACAGCCCCTCTTCTTACTTTCTTCTGTAATAGGATAGTAGTATTTGTTCGGTTTCACTGAACTATACTCACAGTAACTTACCGTCATTTTCAAGGCAGATATGAAGTGCCATATCATCTGACACATTTCACCTGTTTGATGTGTTTAAAAGATGTCACTATTGAAATGAGAAGCTGTTGATCCTTCAGAAATATTCAAATTAACATTTAGTGATCAGTGAACTAATACTCCTTCTAAATCATTTATAAATATTTCTACATTTATTTTAATATCTCTTTGTCTCTATGTAGTATTAACAGAGGCATTTCCAAAAGTCACATGCTGAACTTATAGGCAAAACTAAAAAGCATCAAGTATTTCCTTTTGCTGTTTTGAAAAACAAGATTCATATCAAATGTCTGTAAAAAATTACTAATGGGAATTCTTTTACTAAAATTTTAGTAGATTAATTGGAGCAGTAGAAAAAGTAGTATTTTCTGAGGTGACTATGAATAAACATCAATGGCTGTGAGGATCTTGTAACAATGCGTTAAATATGATTCACATATAACAGGTCCGTTGGGTTCCTGTATCCTTTTTTACTCACATCATGAATGTTCTCATTTCTGGTTTGCATATTCACTTTTATATGCAGCTGTTGGTAATTTTGCAAATGTCCAATAAAGTAAAAATGAGAATTTTTGACACTGAATCTTTACAGAGTCACACTTTATGATATTCTCTTGACATCTGAAAACACTTTAATACATATCACCAGGGAAGGAAAGCATTACACTCCATCAATTATGTATTTCAAATGATGTTTACTGCTAGCAAAGCTTAAATTGAAAGGACTCATGGGCATGGATAACAGTGTGGTGGGGTGTGGTATAAAGAGACTAAAAGGTAATGAAAAATACAAAAAAGATTAAAAATAAACAAATAAATCATATACATTTATCACTACCATAAATTCTGACTAAGGAATTTGTCTTTGGACCAGGTATTAGGACTCCAAAAGGATTTAGGAGGGCAGATTTCTGAACTCGCATATTCGCGCAGGTGCTAACCTTCACGCTCGCTGTCCTAGGAAAGCAAGTTTCTTGCACTCAGCCCAGGCCTCTCAGTCGCTCTCCCTAGTCGCATGCTGAGAGCGATTCCTGGACTAGTGAGGAGAATGCAATGCTAACAGCCCCTTGGACTGGTGGCACTGGAAAGAGCCTGGACCAGGAGGCTAACATCAGCCTTCTAGAAAAGATCCACCTCTACCCAGAAAGGCAGAATGATATTGGGAAAGAATACGTGTGTACTTTTCAGTCAGACAGACATGGGTTTAAGTTCAACATGACTATCCATACTTACTGTGGAGTAGTTCTGGGTAAGTCATAACTTTTCTCAGTTTCATTTTTCATGCATATAAAATAGAGAATAGTCTTCCAGGAGTATTATGAAAACTATGGATAAATTATATAGGGTAACTAAGATAAACCCTATCACTGAGTAGGTATGTCTTATACATTTTGCCACTTGCTATTATGCACTGGGGGATCTTGGGTGATTTACTTAAACTCTCTGAACTTGGCTTTCTCAGTTGCTTATAATGAGTGGGCTAGATCACCACTAAAGTTCTGGTCAGCTCTAAAATTTTCACGCCAAGATTAAAACCCTTGGTCTAAGTGGTAATCCCGTGGTGTTGATTTCTATTTTGTTTGTTTTTTGGAGGGTGGGGCATCAGTGAAATTAGAGAAGTAGGGTTTTTGTAGCAGAGTTGTCAGTTACTGAAAAGAAGTACCCACATTCGTCTTTGTATTGCCCTTAAATGTGTTCTTGGAAGGGATAACTCCAAAAACAGATTAAGAAACAAAAGAAGAAGCAAAGCCTTTGACACAGCACCTGTGGTGGGCACACACCTCTCTCCTGAGGTCATGCTCATCCTTTAATTATTAAAGGGGATTCCTGCGTGGCGCCCTTGGGTAGAGTTGTCAGGTGCCTCTTAGAATTCCACAGCTGTGGCCTGCACAGGACAAAAAAAGTGAATTTTCAAAAGATACAGCTTAAAAAAAGAGATAGAGCTGAAAGGCCTTGTCTTCTCTAGATTTCACTTTTCCACTCTGTCTTACTCTAATGAAGTTTTTAGTAAGAACATAGCAAAAACTTCAGCCTTCCTTCCAAAATAATAGATCAAAATAAGAGCATAACACCATTTTATTTACTTAACTGATGGTAATTTTATCTCAGCAAGTTCATGCGAAAAGGTAATCATCAGTTTCTTATTCTGGAGGTTCTTAATATTTTTATTTCACAGAGGAAAATTAATTTTTAAATGATTTTGAATGAAGTTTATTTATAAATGATTATTATCCAGGTATGAATAAACATAAATTCTATGTTTATAATTTAATGTAATTTATATTCATATGGATTACTAATACCTCTTACAAATTTTACCCTTAATTT